CCGGGTCCACCATTTCTGACCCGCCGGCCCGCTCGGGCCTAGGCCCGGACCCGGCCCGGACCCGAGTCCATCCCTAGAACCAGGATCACGCGCACCATGTTCACGGATGCAAACCAGGGCGGCGAGGCCGATTTTGGGGCATGTGTCCAGGATCCATTACTCCACTAGGACCTATAAATTTCCCAATTATACACACACACATACATATATATTTTAATTATATATAAAAATGTTGATATTTTCATTAAGACGTAAAATCACTTATAACTTTTTTGATATTTTCAATTGATTATTCATCAACATCTACACAATACAAGTCTAAAATGTTGAAGCATCCACATCAGAATTTTTTGAGAACATATTTCAGCCCTTATATTATTTCCAAATCGTCACTTAAGCCCCTGTACTAATAAAAGTATCATATAACTATATAAGTACGCTTACTTTACAAAATGGATCAATTTGACCATTTAATCAGCTTTTGGCATGTAATAGCAGGTTTTTAATACATAAAAAATCTAAAACTTGATTAAAATGTGAGGAAATGTATACAAAAATCGTGAAAATTTTCGGAATATCAAAGTCAATATTTTTTAGTTTTTAAAAATATTTGTACATTGGACATGTATTTAAAAGGTTTTTAAAGTTTTTGTTTTTTATTTTTTTATTTTCACATTATTTTTTCAGTTTTATTTTTTTTATTTTTTTAACGCTAATGTTATTAATTTTTTTATCTATTTTTATATTTATACTCTATTTATATTATTATTAGATTATTTATTCAAATGTATATGATTTTTTGTAAGATTTATCAATATTCCTAATTTAATTTAAAAAAAATAACCTGCTATAGCAGGTCAAGGGGATTGGTTGATTGTAGTTTACAAGTAGACGTACTTATACGATACTTTTTTTAGTACAAGGGCTTAAACGACATATTAGAAATAGTAGAAAAACTTATTTTCTACTCATGATTCATTGATAGTATTTCGTTAATTTTCTTTAGTTCTCTCGTGAATGAGAAAGATTGAACATTTGAACTATAGTATCCCGAACTTAGAAACTTGTAGTTTATTTTAGTCTACTAAAATTGTGATATGAAAAAATTACTACTTATACGATATATCTTTCATGTCTTTCTCTCATGTAAGATTCTTTATTGCAAATAATAGTTGTACTACTTGTTTCATTCGGCTGGTTTAAGTACATAGTAGCCTCAACCCGATGTAACTTATCAAATAGGAGTACTTAAATGTATTTTTCTAACCATTTATTTTATTAGTTTCTTTGATGTATTATACTAGTATTTGGATGACAAAATTATTTTATTTTACTTTCAGATTTTTTACAACAAAAAATATTTTAAACATTTACACATTATTAGAAAGGTTTACTCTACATCGATTATCCGAGGTTCATGCACGCAATCGTGTGTGACTTAGGGGTGGATTCGGTTCGGGCCACCCGGCCCGTGACCCGGCCCGGCCCGGTACTGTGCGGGCTCGGGACCGGCCTGGTCGGGCGGTCCGGGACCGGGTGTAGACCCGAACCGGTGGGAATGGACGGGACGGGCACGGTTCCGGAAAAATGTGACCCGGGCCGGTCGGGTCAGGCCCGGGTCCGGGTCAACGGTCCTATTTTAAAAAAAATTGTTAAATACTTACTAGCCGTTATGGGTGGGCTGGGGACAACCCAAACGGCTATATAGCCGTTGGGTGGGGTGCAGGGGGGTCCGGAGGGGTTGGGTGGTGGGGGGGGGGGGGTGGTGGTGGGGTGTGGGGGGTAAAAAACCCTATAAATACTCCTAATCTTAAACATTTTTTCATATCTCTTCTCCAATTCTTCCTAAATCCTATTCTTAACTCTCTACTCTCTAATTCTCTTATTCTCCATTCTCCAATATATTATATTTATTATTTATAGTTTATATTAATTATCTACTTATATAAACTATAAATAGATATAAATAGTATTATATTACTTATATTTGTTATCTAATTATATATTACTTATATATTTATTATATCTATTAATATAGTTGAAATTATATCTAATTAATTTGAAGTCATTCTATTACTCCCATCCGAAAGACCGAAAGTCCGAAAGAGGTACGAAATTATTCTATTATTTACACTTGTTTAATTTTGTATTAACGTTACTTGAAAAAAAAACTAGTTAATTAGGTTGTACAATTTGCTATAACTCGAATTAATAGTTAGATAAATAGTTAATTACTTTTTTACAATTTTTTTATTAATTGCTACATTTGACTCTAGTTTAAAAAATATGTTGTACACAAAACTAGTTAATTCACTAGTTAATTTGCTATAACTCGAATTAATAGTTAGATAAATAGTTAATTACTTTTTTACAATTTTTTATTAATTGCTACATTTGACTCTAGTTTAAAAAAATATGTTGTACACAAAACTAGTTAATTCACTAGTTAATTTGCTATAACTCGAATTAATAGTTAGATAAATAGTTAATTACTTTTTTACATTTTTTTTATTAATTGCTACATTTGACTCTAGTTTAAAAAAATATGTTGTACACAAAACTAGTTAATTCACTAGTTAATTTGCTATAACTCGATTTAATAGTTACATAAATAGTTAATTACTTTTTTACAATTTTTTATTAATCGCTACATTTTTTAGATGGATCGTCCTAGATATTCGGTTGATATGGGTAACCTCGAGCGCAACCGAACGAAAGAGCTTGTGAGGAAGAGATCCCGCAAAGGTAAATCACATATCGGCTCTTCATCTCAAAGTCGAGATGATTTTGATACGGGTTACGCAAGGAGGGATGGGGATGCGATGACCGACGAACAACTAGAACAAGAATTGCACCGACATAATTCCCGCTTTTTTCAAGACCAACCGAGGACCATTGACGAAGAAGAGCTCGAGGACGAGGACGACGATGTGGTGGAAGTAATTCCGGAGAGCCACGACGAGGAGGAGGAGGAGGGTGGCGGCAGCCATGACGCCGACCAACCTGCCGCATCCCAAACAGGTACAAAAAAAGTAAATCTGAACTAATGGCTAATAATTTTTCTAAGTGGAAGGACCCGAACACCGGAAATTGGACCGCAACTCGCAATTGGTGCAAGAAAAACTATAGCTTGGGGATTTCCGGCGGATATGGATCCGCCACAAGACACCTTAAGTCCAAACACCCGGTGGAATAGTACCTATAAGTTAATTGGAGTTCTTCTTAGATATAAACAACATTTTCCTGCTTTTATGAAACAATATGATAACTATATTATAAACTCGGCTGAGATCGACACCTGTGAAAAATTTTGTAATGCTTTGATATATTTTAATAATGCAATTGAAACTTTTAGTCATGTTTATAAACCTACCTCAAACCAATTTATTCGTGAAGCTGTTAATCTCGCCGGTGCTTTTTCAAATTTTGAGAATGCTGATTATGTGAGTTATTTTGCTAGTTTTATGAAGGTAAAGTTTTTAAAATATTATTCACATATTCCGCATATTTATGGTATTGCATTTGTTCTCGATCCTCGTTTTAGACTTGGTTCTTTAGAAGAATGTTTGAATTATTATTATGCTGTTTTTTTTTGTCCATTGTCAATGTATGAGGACAACCCAATTGATCCGAAAAAAGAATACAACGAGGTTAGTGATATATTTTATGCATTATTCAATGAGTTTCATGCACAATATGACAATGCGCCCCCTCCCCCGACACAAACATCATCTAAAGGATTTAGCAAAGATGGCTAAGTAAGTGCTATCAATGCCGGTTTCAACGGTTGCCGTGGAACAATAATTTAGTTCGGCCGGCAATGTCCTAACATAAACCAGAACGAGGTTGAGCGCTGAATCTCTTGAGATGCTTATATGCTACCACGATTGGTTGAAAGCAGACCGTAGAGCTCAAGAAATTGACATCACCCCATCCCAACACTTTATGGATGAATCTACAACCGAGGGTGGCTCTACCTATGCCGGAGATTCCGATTGAAATATTGAATGATTGATTAGTATTTCATGTTTTAAAAACAATTATAGTTCCTATTTAATTTTCAAATGTAGTTCCTATTTCATTTCAAATAAATGCACTTGAAGTTTGTTTTTTAATACTTGTATAAAACTATAAAGTATAAAATATAAAATATAAAAACAAATTAACCGACCCGACCCAGCGGGTGGCCCGACCCGTGACCCGGGCGGGTGGCCCGGCCCGAACCGGACCCGTCCAACCCTCGGGCCGGTCCCGGGCCCATGTGATACGAACCGGCGGCCCGACCGGGCCTAGGCCCGGGCCCGACCCGGCCCGAATCCACCCCTAGTGTGAGTGTCAACAACTTCTCAAATACGGTCATGTGCGCACTGCGTGCGGTTTGCTCATGTAATTTTTACTTAGCTCTTCGTTTAATTACGACCCTCGATTGCATAATTGAGATTTTCAGTTGTGGTTTTCGTAAGAATTAGCTTGGGAACAAGATGTCTTCGAGAATCATCAATGATTTCATTCTTTCAACTAATGACAAGTAAATCTTACTCTTTCCATTGTAGTGTTCTAATTATGAATTATAACTAATTTTCTTTAGTGATTTGAGATCGGTGGATAAAAGTTCCTATGATCTAGCATTTTGCTTTTAAAAGTTTGAAAGTGTGATATTTATATAATTTGCGTAAAAAATCAACTCGTTGTCTTTTCTAACCTGAAAATGTCACTTGATTTATATTCATATATATATATGTAGAATAGTTTAGTAGAGGTTTAAATTGTTCTTGAACAATTTTCCACACATTGGCATAGGCAAGGGGTTGTACGCTTGCTCGTACACACTGTGATGTCAATCTTGTTCTCGAAATCATTACGCATTCACAATTTAGTCTTCGCTCAATTATATGCTTATTATTTGATCAAACCCTAACCTTTATCTAAAATGTATACACCTAAATCAGAATTTAGTCTTGTTTTTTAAACCTTTGTTGAGTGAGTACACTCTTACCACGAATAACCTTACCAATTTTGTAACTAATTCTCCATATACAGAGTATTACATACTAAAAAATAGTAAATTTGGATACTATAGATTCCACGTTTATAGTTCACAAGGTGAGGTTTTCTGGCTTTCTTCTAGACCCGGATTCCATAACCTCACTTGTAATACATAGGCGCTTACCACCGACACCGTCTCATCTCATACAACATATTTAAAGCTCTATAAACTATGCAAAGTGATAAATAGATGTGTACGCTGGTGCCTTTACACTACCCATCCAGTTATTGTCTCTCCATTTTATTAACCGCACAACTCTTTATTTTGGGCATCTCGAAAATGAAGCATGAAGAGTGTTATGGGATGGAGACTCATATGTACCAAAAAGTAACCAAAACGCTAAAATGAATATCAATAAAACAGGAAGGCATGCCCTCGAAACTGGATGCAACACCAGTCTGTTGTAGCAAGGTTAACCTGTTTGAGCAAAGAATTGCCCGTTCACAAACTTGCAGCTGGTGTATGATAGAAAGTTGCACGAGAAATGTAAACCAATTTATCGGAGTCCTTCAGTTTAAATTCCATAGCAACTACAGTTATACTTCTTCCACTCCTAACTACAGATCCATGAATCATCACTTCTGCCTGCATACACAGTGAGAACTTCCAATGTATATATGAAACGCATCATAATATGGTGTGTGTTTGTACAACTCTAGTTGAAGACAAAACTGTATCTGAATCAAAGAAAAAAAGACTAACATTAAGAGGAGCAGATGAGAGGTAAGACATGCTTAAGTCTCCAAGAAATAGCTCTCTATCCTTTCCCACAACTGTTCTAGCACAAGCAATCGCCACTCTCTCAGCTATTGCACCAACCGCACCCCCATGCATCCCACCAAAACCATTCTGAAAATGCATTAAGTTAAGATATGTAGTGGTTAGAGAAAAACATGTGATGCGCTGTTCCGAACTATATGAAGTCTACATCCCAATGAAATTGGGCAGAATCTGTCAACTTGATGCGTACATAAGACTAAAGGGTTATTCTGCTGGTATGACTTAATCGAGTGGATTTTCTTAAAGTAAAAAGGGTTGGGTAAAATCTATTTCAACCAATTAAGTTAGTGAAATGCTGCCTCTACTTATTTGGATTGAATATTATGCTGGTAAGAAGAACAAGCCCCTTTCGGATTCCAACGCAAATTTCGACTAATGCTTCTATGTCTCAAATTTCTATGTAGTTCAATGTATCCTGGGAGTCTACATGAACTTTTCAGCATACATAGTGACTGATCAGATAACCATCTGGCCACGTATCAGTAATTACTACTACCCTAAGTTTCCCGCTGCTGCCTCAAATAGTTTTCCATTATATTACTGAACCTTGGGGGCGGGGGTTTAACAGCTTGTACAAATGTTTCTATAAATGTCCAAAATTGGGAGTTTCCCATGACAGCTAAGAGTGAAGAACAATATCGTGGATGGACTAATTTGGCATTCTCCACCAAAACTAAATCTGACAGACAGGTAAGAATATTTTTAAAAACGAAAAGAAGCCATCAATCGGGAAATACTCTACGTTCAACCAGCTGAAGGGGACAAGAAATCAGAAGAAAAGCAACCCGGCCCATTTTAATTACCATGATAGCAGGTTTGACGACGAGCAGGCACGTGAGTTTCCCAGGATGGATGTGGTGGACATGGAGGACACCTTGAGTAAGGTGACAGAAAGCGCCCCTGGCCTGGTATTCAGGAGGAAAGCTAGTCCCGTAAACTCCGATGGATCTCATGAAGTCATCGAGCAGACGGATGGAATCCGAAGATAAATCTGGAGACAGTCTTGTGGTGTTGAGGAGGCTGGTGGCGGTTACAATGTCGTTTTTCCTTGCCATTGCGTCCTTCCAAATTTTCTTGTTTCCACCTATGTTCTCAAAATCAGGACGGCGACCGGGACAGAGCGGCCGGGTAAGGGCGAGTCCGATCAACACCACGAAAACGGGTTATTATTTTAATTACCCGTTTAGTCTATTTTTATAGTCTACATATTATTTATGTTCCAATTATTTTCTCTTTTCATTTATAAACTTTCCTCTTTTCAATTTTAGCTTTTTATTTCAGTTTTAGACATATTCTCCCAAATTCCTCTTCCGTCTCCCTTCTAATCCTCCCACGTACGACAGAAACACCCTCCCTTCATTGAGCTTCGTATCTGGAGAGTTCTCAACCACAGTTATCTTCCAAAGTGTTCTCGCTGGAGCGGACGACGTAGCGTACTGAGAAAGGGGGTCAAATCTCAGCTTCGACGGGTTGCAATCGGGTTCACCAGCATGACACACTTTGCAGGATTGATCGACCCTCATCGCAACGATCATTCAGAAGTAAATTAGAGAAATAGGCAGAATTCAGCTGGTATGAGCTTAAATGGGACTTCCATTTGCTGTTTTGATTATATTTTCTTTCTATTTCTATCTCTTAATGACGAGCACTTTGTCACGGTGCGTCAAAATAAATTTAATACTAAACACTTATATGTAGTATAGCGTAGTAGAGTTCGTATCCACAGGGAAAGGAATGATTTTCTTTTTATGAAACTAGTAATTAAAAGGGGGGTTTTGGTTTTGAGTGATTTAATTCAATTAAGAAACTAAGATAAACAACCTATATGTGTTTAATTCAAAGATAAAAAGGACTTGACATTGCTACTTTCCACTTGTTGATATATTTTAGTCGATCATTGTTATATCTATAACTTATTCCCCCTCGAATACTCAATCGGGGAGTATATCCACTTCATCGAGGGTAGTTATTAACAACGACCGTTCATTAATAACCCTTACTATTAATCAAATATAGAACAACGCCGTATACCGATTTAATAGTAGCATTTAATCTTTCTAACTCCTTGATGAAATCAATTGAGATTGATAACCTCAACACAAGCGGTTTCGGTTTAACCAACAAAATTAATCCCTCTTAAGTTTATTAACCACGACCGTGCATTAATAAATCGAAGTTACTTACTTGTGAAACCATCAACGATTAACCATCGGTTCGTTGATCGTTTCTAGTAATAATTAATATATGAAACAAAACTAGTTGATCCTTTAAGTAATGTTCAAAATATTAATATGAAATAAGAGTAGGAATTAATTAATATTCAAGGAAGAATATTATTAAAGAAGATGAATCCTACTATAATTAATATCAAGATGTTAACTAATTGTCATCTTAGCAACACTCTCCAATATTAATATAGAGGAAGAAAATACCATTCTAACTAATGTCGAGATGTTAACTAATTGTCATCTTAGCAACACTCTCCAACATTAATATAGAGATGGTATTAAGGAAAGAACTATTAATTAATATTCAAGGAAAGAAGTTAAGAAAATAACTCACAACTTTAATAATCAACAAGCTTCAAGAGCAACACCAAGAATGGAAGTTTAGCTCCTCATTTGGAGACTAAACATAGCTAGAAAAATATAAAGAAATGCTATTCTAAACTGAGCTAGAGAGTATAGAAGAAGGGATGATTTTTTGTGAAGAATAAGTGTGCTATTTATAGGTGTTTTTCAACACTTGTGGCCGGGTACCCGACCGGGTCAAGTACTCACCCGACCGGGTCCATGTCAAAATCAAATATCCTCCACGTTCTGGCGATCTTCGGCATGTTAAAGTGTCCGGGTCAAGTCAGACCCGACCGGGTGGGGTAGGGTACCCGACCGGGTGAGTGCAAAAATTGGATATTCTTCACGTTCGGGTGATCTTTGCACACCGGGTTGTCCCCGGTCACTTCTCACCCGACCGGGTGAGGTAGTGGGCCCGACCGGGCCATGCACTTTCTTTGCATTTTCGTTTTTCACTTCTTACCCGACCGGGTCAAGTGTTATACCCGGTCGGGTATTTGCTCCTGGGCAGCCAAATCTTCTTTTTCTTCACTTCAAAGTCTTCCTTTCCAACACCACAAATCCTAACTAAACTTTACAACTGACAAATAAAGACTAAAATACAATTACAACTGAAATCACATAAATGTTTACAAACTAAATAAAACGTCAAACAATCAACATAAATCAAACATAAAAACATGTAATTATGCACTACTAATTAGTGTGCATCAAACACCCCCACACTTAAACCTTTACTCGTCTCGAGTAAATCAAATCTGATCCAAGAAGTCCTTAAAATGACAAGAATATCAACACACACATCCACGAGTGTTTTTAGAAACACATAAAGTAAATCCCCAAAAATATAATAGTAAAGAGGGTCTTCAACTCAACCTCAACCTTTTTTTTATACCCTTAGGATCATGCAGACATAAAAGAAAATACTTTCTCTCGTTCTCTCATTTTGCCTAGGTGCCCTTTCGGGTTTTCATCCCAGCTTCCCACATTTTTCTGTTTTAATCCTCACAACTCACTCTTATTTTTGCTTTATTTTTGCTTAAGTTGCCCTTTCAGGTTTTCAACTTAACAAGCTTTTATAATTTTTTTTTACAAGAATAAAGAGTATGAATGTGAGTATGCCATAAAACTCTCCCCCCAAGCTAATCAAAGCACTGTCCCTAGTGCTTGTGTCTAAGATGAATGTGTTTTTTTTGGATACTTTTTGGGAGGTTTTGTTGGTGATTCGTGGGTGTGGAGATGAAAAGGGTGAAGAGGTGATGAATGAAATGGATTTAATTGGTGGATGGATGTAGGAGATATGAAGCTTTTGACTTTTGGAAATGGAGGAAATTTGGGGTGTGGTTCGAAAGGGAAAACAAAGGGGGTGATTCATTTTTTTTAATGAGAAATGGCCTGGTTTCCAAAAATCGAGATACCCGGCCGGGTGGGGTAGTGTACCCGGTCGGACGTAAACTGTTCACCCGAGGCAGAAGGTTTTTGCTGGCTTGCCCGGCCGGGTATGGAAGTCTACCCGGTCGGGCGAAAAATTTATTCTTGTTTTGCTCATTCCTCGCCCGGGTGATTGCCCGGGTGTTTTGTTTTTAGAAGTAACCCGACCGGGTTAGGGTTTATACCCGGCCGGGTCCAATCCCAGTCCATTTTTTTTAAATGTGTAAAAATAAACTAAAACAAGTAAACGTACCTTGCTTGGGTTGCCTCCCAAGAAGCGCCTTAGTTAACATCGCGGCACGACGCCATCATTGTGTTCAGTCGTTCAAACTGGGATCATGATAGTTTATCTTTGCCACATTTTCATTCCTAGGACTTCCATAGGAATGCTTGATTTTCTGACCCTTCACTTTGAAAATCTTTCCAGGATCAAATATCCATATTTTCATTGATTCATGTGGTGAGAGTGAGGGAAAGAAATTATCATTTAGCATGATCAATGGAAAGTGTTTTGATCTTAGTGGCATGAGAGGGGGTGTCAAATGTGTACTTAACTCCACTATCATTTCCTGCATATTGGTGAATGAAAAGAAATCCAAATGATAATCTCTCGGTTTATTTGCAACCGCGAAAAGTGCATTTGAATTATCCTCACATTTGCTGAGGATTTCATCTTTGTCCTTCTCTACCCTTTCTGTCTCCCTTAGAGCCTCAGGAAATGGTGGCATGTTCTCAGGAATGGCCGATGATGGAGTTGAGTTTTGAAGTTTCTCCTCCTCTGGTTGAGCTCCCTCCGTAAGCTCCTCTTCTTCTTCCTCCTCGCCAATGTGGTTCACAATGTTTGACACTTGTTTCAATTGATTCTCCAAGTTTAGTTCTTTGAGCACTGTTTCTTGCGGGTATTGCGACATATCTTGTTGCATTTGTGTCACATTGATAGTGAGAGCTCGGATCATGTCTTCAGTGGACATGCTGGAATAATAACTTGAGTATGGATTATATGTGTTGGAGAATGAATCATACCTCTCTTGGAAAACAACATCATCACTCTGTTCAAAGTATTCTTCTTGCAGCTTGGGGCAAAAATCCGTAAGATGCCTTTGTGACATGCAACTGTTGCAGGCCTTGGTATCTTGAACGTTTGAGCATAAGAGAAACTCCTTTACCAAAAATGTTAAGCTAGAAATTTGACTCTCTAGCGATGATGTTGGTATCCATTTACTCATATAAGCTCAGAAAATAGAAGAGCAAGAGATTTTTGTTTTGATTTTTTAATGTTTTTTTTTGTTTTGATTTTTATGAGGTAAAATAAAAAGAAAAATAATTGCCTTTCCCCGGCAACGGCGCCAAATTTGACGAGCACTTTGTCACGGTGCGTCAAAATAAATTCAATACTAAACACTTATACGTAGTATAGCGTAGTAGAGTTCGTATCCACAGGGAAAGGAATGATTTTCTTTTTATGAAACTAGTAATTAAAAGGGGGGTTTTGGTTTTAAGTGATTTAATTCAATTAAGAAACTAAGATGAACAACTTATATGTGTTTAATTCAAAGATAAAAAGGACTTGGCATTGCTACTTTCCACTTGTTGATATATTTTAGTCGATCATTGTTATATCTATAACTTATTCCCTCTCGAATACTCAATCAGGGAGTATATCCACTTCATCGAGGGTAGTTATTAACAACGACCGTTCATTAATAACCCTTACTATTAATCAAATATAGAACAACGCCGTATACCGATTTAATAGTAGCATTTAATCTTTCTAACTCCTTGATGAAATCAATTGAGATTGATAACCTCAACACAAGCGGTTTCGGTTTAACCAACAAAATTAATCCCTCTTAAGTTTATTAACCACGACCGTGCATTAATAAATCGAAGTTACTTACTTGTGAAACCATCAACGATTAACCATCGGTTCGTTGATCGTTTCTAGTAATAATTAATATATGAAACAAAACTAGTTGATCCTTTAAGTAATGTTCAAAATATTAATATGAAATAAGAGTAGGAATTAATTAATATTCAAGGAAGAATATTATTAAAGAAGATGAATCCTACTATAATTAATATCAAGATGTTAACTAATTGTCATCTTAGCAACACTCCCCAATATTAATATAGAGGAAGAAAATACCATTCTAACTAATGTCGAGATGTTAACTAATTGTCATCTTAGCAACA